TTGACAAAACGCTGTTGGTTGTAATAAATGTAGTTAATCCAATTAAGGTTTTTGTTGGCAGTGACTATAGTGAACAGTGATTCAAAACCTGCAGCTACTTCATCTCTAGCTTTAAATTCATTAGGTACCCCCCTAGGCACCCCAATGGCATCTATGTAAATGTGGGGGTCAAAACTGCCTTATACTGGGGTTTCGCGCCTTACTCTGGCTGATGTATGTGGAGGGTCGTATGTGTCATGATGATTATCAGAAATAATATGAATGGGCATGATAACTTTGGCCAGGGTACACTCACCCCACCACTCAGTTTCCAGCCTAGATCTTAACTGTAGATCCCCACATAACCAGTAAATATCCCCCAATGACCTGGTATGGTGTTGCAACAGGTGTATAGGAACAGTTCTGTAAGTGGCGCAATAACCTTTAGAAAAGTTACCCATGAATTTACCAATCCCGTCATACATGGCATAACAAGTGTAATTACCTCTATAGACTGTGATTCCATCTGGTGGCTTAACATTTTCAACTAAGAGAGGGTATTCTGCCGTCCATGCCATGCAGAGGGACCTATTAAAGTCATATTGGTTGGCAAAAAGGCTTAAGAAGCAATCTTCTATCTCTAAAGGGAGAATTAGGGGGACGGTGCCAAGGTGGGGTCGGGCACCGCCACATACATAACATGCTGTTTTATTATGTTTGTTGGCATTATACCTCATCCATTCTAACCACAAATTAATGTCATTTAATCCAGTTTCAGCGGCCATGGTATCTTCAAAAGTGGGGTTAGCGATGGCCATCATATCTTTAAAGGACTGGATATGTGGTTTTAGCGGATTTGGGACCATATGATCAGCCCCTTGCCACTCTGGAGAGTGGTACATATCTCTGAGGTAGAAATGACCTAATTTGTTGTAGGAACCTTTCTTCCAATACATTCCCATTACATATCGGTCTGCATCCTCGGGGCCAGGATGTTCAATATTTAACATTAATTTCATAGGGGTACTTCCTCCAGGCTTTCTTAAAGTCATTCTTTGAAGGAGGGATCTACCCTGATTGTCTATCTTAGATAAAGCACTTTTGGGTTTATAACCCCAGGCAGGCCCAGTATTCCATCCCGCAGCCCCCCAGTAGTTACAGTCATAACCCCATTGTTCATCTACTACACAAACGTAAGGGTCTTTTGCTTTTGGGATATCTTTATAAATGGCTTGAATCTGTGACTTAGGGAATGGGCATTCTACAATATCACAGTAATCAAAAGTGAATGTAGCCACATGGGTACATGATGAATTATACCAGAAAGTGTACCCACTAGCATCTTTGGTGATGGCCACCTGCTGGGCTTTAAGGAGGCCAACTAAGGAGATAATGTACCAGAGGCACATGGTTGCATAGAGTTAGCTTCCTCTGGGGCAGGTGTCTTCTTGCAATGGGAAGCGTGGATCCAGTTAGGCCTTCCGGCCAATTTGACAGAGGTAGGGGAGATCAGGAGAACTTGGAACGGTCCGTCAAATCTTGGTTCCAGGGTGTGTTTTCGCACAAATTTCTTGACCAGAACCCAGTCACCGGGGAGCAGACTGTGGTTGCCTGTGTCAGAATCAGGATCTGGAATTGAAGAGAAAACTTGGGCATGGATTTTGTTCAAAGCATTGGCAAGTTCAGTTACATAGTTTACTAAAACATCAGTATGAAGTTGTAATTGCTGGGGAAAATAGCAACCTAGCCTAGGTGCAGTCCCAAATAGAATCTCATATGGGGACAGTGAGGTAGTATTTTTGTACAAGAGCATTCATTAGATCCTTTGATAAATGTGCAGGTCCGTGTGCCCATTGTACGACTGCTGGGTACAAATTCTTAGGGAGGCAGAACTTGAGGTTGTTGGAGTACACTCCATCCTTCAGAACTGCCCCTTTCTGTTTCCATCTTTGTATTTCTTCAGGAGCAACTGCAGCCTGTTGTTCCCGTAGGGTTTTTAGATCAGTTGGAAGTGTCTGCAAGGTAAATGTGGGAGTTTCTTTGTTTCCGGACACACTTCTGTCCACTTCCTGTAGTTCTCTTGCAGCTTGTTTTGCAGCTTGATCAGCTAGATGGTGGCCCTTTGCTTCATCTGAGTCCAACTTCCCATGTGCTTTTATCTTCAAAATAGCCACTTCTTCTGGGAGTAGGAGGGCGTCCATCAGCTCCTTGATTGCGGAACCGTGCTTGATTGGTGTACCGGCGGTAGTAAGAAATCCTCTTGTTTTCCAAATTAATCCGAAGTCGTGAGCCACGCCCAGTGCATATCTTGAATCCGTGTAGATATTGGCGCGCTTTCCTTCAGAGATCTTGCATGCTGAAGTCAGGGCTTGCAATTCAGCTTCTTGTGCAGACATAGTTGATGGTAAAGATGATGATTTGACAATTTCATCTGTTGTGGTTACGGCATATCCTGTATGGTATCTTCCTTCTTCATCAGCATATCTTGAGCCGTCCACAAACAGGGTGAGATCGGGATCTACCAATGGGTCTTCATGCACAGTTGGTAGATGTGTTGTTTCCATTTTCATCTGTTCAAAACAGTCATGAGGTGTATTTGGGTCGTAGTCATTTACTATGGTTAAATCTTGGAACTCATTTTCCAGGAAATGACGTGGCCATGCTTTTAGGTGGTCAGTTGTTGGATATTTGACAACACCATTTTCCTGTAGCTGTGATTCGTCCATAGTGGCCCATGCTTTTGCCATAGGCCCAAGATCATTCCATGATATTGTTTTCAACTTGGTCACAGGGACATGTGGAATGGCAGTGTCCCAATGACGGTACAAATACTTGAGTTCCGGAGGTAGATGAATCAAGACCATACTGTTGCCTTCAGAATCACAGTAGAAGTCTTGTGCAGTGAGTTTTACTTCGACCAGATGATAGAGTTCATCTTCATAGCAGGGTTCAGGAGTGATGTTTGGTTTGTACCACATGGTACAGAAGGCATATCCTGCTCCGTCATGAAGGAGTGCTTGTCCATCATGAAAGGATAGGTTGGGATGCATTTCCTTCTTGATGGTGCCAGTGAGAAGAAAAACATAAGTTTCGTCCATGATGAATCCGTAGTATACACCCCCCTCAGGGAGTGGCAGAAGAGTGGACGGATTGAGAACTTGACATCTTTGAAGGGTAATGTGGTCAGGCAACAAAAGATGACATTGAAGGCGAAGATGCCTAGCAGGAGTAACATGCTTAAGTTGGACCTGGTTGACTATGGCAGAAATGTCATGAGGGGCCAAGACAACCAGGGGGTGGCCAAGGACAAGATCTCCAGTTCTTTCAATGAGCTCTTTGGCAGCACAGACGGCCCGAAGGCAAGTGGGACGTCCTCTGGCCACAATATCCAGTTGGCAGGAGAAAAATCCAATAGGCTTTTGGCGGCCTCCAGGACCATGGGCCTGAGTGAGTACTCCTGTTGCATGGCCTTGTCTTTCAGAAACAAACAATTTGAAGGGTTTGGTATAGTCTGGTAGGCCAAGAGCAGGAGCAGAAGCAATAGCACGTTTAAGAGTACAGAAGTTGTCAAGGGCTTCTGTGGACAAGCAAAATGGGTCTGACTTGAGAGCATCATAGAGAGGTTGCATAAGGAGTGAGGCTTCTGGGATCCATGCTCGGCAATAGGAAATGAGGCCTAGGAAGGCGTGTAGTGACTTTGAGGTCCTTGGAGGTGGAATGTCCAGTACTGCTCTAACTCGGTCACGAGTGAGATGGCTGGTTCCCTGAGACAGACAATGGCCAAGGAAGATAACAGTAGGTTGGCAGAATTGCAGCTTGAGACGTGAAGCTTCACATCCTTGTTCTGCTAGATAGTAAAGAAGATTAATTGAGCATTGTTCTGTTGTGGGTAGATCATCTCCACAGTAAAATGGGAAGGGAACAAAGAACTGTAGTGTCTTTTCGTGACAAAGGTGTATTTAATTGAACCTGGCCGTCTGCAGTGAGGGTGATGGATGCTTGGAGGCGGGATAGGACATCAGCACCAACACAAGAGACATCGGTGTCAGGCAGGAACGATGAGTCAGGCAGGTCTTGTTCTCTAAGAACACTGCGGGCTGCACCTGTGTTAACCAGGAAAGTAGTAGGGTGACCTTCAATAGGTAAAGTTACAGTGGCTAGTGGCCCCCCTTGTTCCCTGTAGACACTGCCATGGCAGGGGCATTAAGCATCAGCGGGTTTGGTCTCCTCTGTATGGGCTGTGTTACTGACTCAAACCCCTTTCTATGTCATTAGCCATAGCTATTTGCAGTCTGAACATGTCTATCATTATAAATAATGGTTAATAGTAAGTGAAGTAAAGTTCCTAAATGTCTTTGGATAAAACATTAACTATTGCGGTACTATCATTTATATTAATTAGACTATAACAATTATACCACCCTGTAACTAAAATAACCAGTAGTGGCTGGGTTAATAAAACATGTCACAAACCCTTCTAATGCTAAACCATCATTTAAAGTAAAGGATGTTACTGTAAACATACGATCTGTAACTAGCAAGATTCGATTAAGTAAAGATACAATGTTTAAAATAACTTGCATTATTTAGCTATTTCCCTTGTTGCAAGAGTAAGCTGGATAATCAGCTGTTATGCTCTTATATTCGTGTCCAACAGATCTCATTTGTAGGTCACACCACATTTGCAAATTACATTTTAGCAACCTTCTTTTTTTTTTTTTTTATCACGGACAAATTTCTGATACAGGGAAACAAATGGCATGATTGTTTTAGTAATTATAATGTTTCTGTTCATAATATGTAGAGTGTAAGGAAAACAACATGTCTCTAAATGGGACGAGCATAATAGGGGTAGGCCTCATGATGGAGGCAGCCATGACAGGGGCGGGGAAGGAAATGACAGCAAGGGAGGAAGTGAGAGGGGTGACGTCCATGATATGTGTGGGAAAGGAAGACAGGAGGTGTGGGCATGGTAAGGGCGGAAGTGACGTCACTTTAGAAGCAACCGTGACTGTAGATAGGTCACGGGACTGGCAGGGTCAACCTCCTTCTGTACTAGGCGCCATCTTTAGGGTGGTGGCTGATGCACTTTCAACAATACACTATATTATAACTATTAAAATAAGTCAGAGAGGCAACATTCTGTTCTGCAAAATGAAATACTAAACTATGAACAGACCTGGCAGGTTAAATAAGACAGTTGAGAACATTATGCATTTAACAGCCCATACAGCTGTTTCTAGAAACATGTACTTTAAAATAACTTTAAAATAATAAAATGATGCAAAATAAACTCACGGAATTCAACCAATTTCCCTTATCATCCTCATTGCATAGTTTTGCAACAAATCACGCTTGCCTTTACACTTAACACGTCCAAATATTCCTCTATTCTTGTATCAGATTCACTTACTTAACCTCCGTAAATCAACACTGAGCTACATCCCTGACTCCCTGTCTTATACACCAGTCTTGGAGAGAATACTCAGAAAGGTGGAATGCATTCTTGTGAGCGAGCCCCCCCACAATCTTCACTGCCTTATCACAAAACACAATTTATATATATATATATATATATATATATATAAACGGCAAACGGCAACAATAATAATATTATTACACAATTATAACACCATAACTTTTGAATTAGAATATTGTCCAGCAAAAATCCCGTCTCTAACTCTTATCAGTAGAAATGCAGGCAAGCGGGGAGGAGGGGGGGGAGAAAGTTAGACAGTGCAAAAAAGGGAGTGAAGCTGCAGGCATGAAGATTAACCATATGAGTGCTGGAAAGTAACAAGACAGAAGGACAGAGACTTATACGTTTGGAAACCAGAAATCTTTGACGGGAGAAACGGACTGGAGGTGCAGGGAGCTGCAGAGAGAGGATGAGGGTGACGAGATCTGTAGGACTGATGGGGGGGGGAGAATAGGGATCCATCAGCATCCAGTAACACAATTAATATAATACACAAACAATCTTAAACCTTTGTGATCAATTTCTTCCTCAACCTATCCCTTTTGCGGAATAGCTCTTGCTACTCGGTACCAGGCTTCTGCTGTACAAACCAAATCGTGGTCCGACAGCTTCCCCTTTCTTCTCTATCAGTAACTTACGCCAGCTCTCTGGCTGCAATCTGCCGCACGGAGGTACGGTAATTCCACATACTTTAGCAATCTTCCTCACTTTCTTAACCATCTCTTCTCCTTCTCTGTCTTCCACTAGATCACATGCTAACCAACCCTTACTGGGTTTATCTAACTTCTGTCCCATCCTCCCTATACAAGGTGTCCCAGATATAGAGAGAGAAAGGAACAGAACGTCTACCGTGCTCGACTGCTACTTTAAGAGCAACCTCTTTAAGTACGTCTTCCCAAAACGTAGACTAGTC